AAACTAAATTCTCAGTAATGTTTTGTGGATAGTTTTATTTATTTATTTGGTAGAGAAGTCAACAAACGGAACTCAAAATACTGTAAGTTCTCAATATTGTTTTAAAAGTGAATAGTAGGCTAATTAAGCCTAGTCATTAGTGAAATGTGCAAATGGCCAACTTATTTTGGTTGGTTGGAAATAATAAATTCCCATTACGGAAATATTTATTTTATAGCAATATTAAATGAAATCAAACACATTTGAACTTTTTATTTCCATTATCATGAAGGCAATATCATTCAAGATGTATTTGATGTGACTTGTATCCATAAATGTTGATGTGAAAGGCTACATGCTGCAAGAGTATAGAAGTATCAGGGGCCAGTATGATACAACTTTATTTCTTCTCTGTATCGTTCTGCAACACAGACAATGGATGGTTCAAATGTGGTACCACTAGATGGCACTAGAGTTACATTATCAGACTGGCCAGTGGGTAGAATGAGAACCTATTCTGACATTTGAAATTCAAGATTTACATCTAGCCATAACAAAGGTTTTATAGTGTTGTCGATGCTAAGATGATGCCTAGACTAATAACTAAATCACACATTTCAATATTAATCTGTTTTGGTTAAGCTCAGTCTTTATATTTTTGATTATTTATATTTTTCAGTGGTTATATTCCTAACCGGATGTCCTAGTTGAAATCGCAATGTTGAGTCATGGGAAATGGGGTTTTCTATCCTTGCATTCTTGAAAATGGTTTACGTACGGTTACTTGCGTTCGCGCGTAGCAGATAACCGCGTTACGCATTTGTTGTACGCTCGCTCTCTATTAGCTCCTGGGAGATTTCCCTTCCTTCCTGGGGTATTTCAGGTAAACCTACGCGGTCTCATCACTGTCGTCAATACCTGGCGGAGTAAAAAATTAGCTGTCCATAAAGGTGTTTGTCATGAATGTCCGACGTATACAGCGGCAGCGGAGAGAGTGAAACTCAAGCCTGGAGAGGTTTCGATGGCCGAAGTACAACCCGGAAAGAACTTAACGTCGCGATGGCTGTGAAAAGTTACCACACAGACGACTGAAAACCGGGAATAATTCCTCTTCACCCGACTTGGGGTAAGACTAATAGATTTGTGGTGCATTTCGTGAAGTACAGGGCTGTCGGGCAGCGCCCATAATGCCGACCAAAAGACTAAATAAGAGTGTCTTTGTTTACAAGGACCCCGGCGTCCTTCTGCTGTCTCTGTGGGATTATTGAGAGTTTTCATCTGGCTACACTGCTATGGCTAATGTTAATGTTAGCGATGGGCTCAGAGCTTCACAGTTTACCCACAAATAGATTGATTATGTTATAGTGCTTCTTATATTTACCAGTGGTTACACATAACGACGGTGGAGTTAATTTCATTGCAGCCTCAATTTACATATAAAATATTCTGTATAGTGGAGTTGGGCATGTCAGAGGAAAAGGTGAAGTATATACGTTTGCATCTAGAAACGCTAAGTTATAGAGACAGGCTTTTAACTGTCTCTGAACACCTGAGCAGAGGGGATAATATGTGACCTGTGGCTTGAGCTCAGCTTATTCAGTTGAAGATCTGGCTGCAGAATCAACATCAAAATAAAATTAAGTTTAATGCCTTTAGGCTACGTGATTTGATTAGGAGTGGTATTGTAGGGCAGTCTAATCATTTGTGTTCTGCTTTGAGCGTGTCCACTGCCTGGGCGGGAAAAAGCTGTTGAATGTCAGGACATTTTGGTTGGTTTAGAAATGACAATTTACAATTTACTGTGAAATCAGCTCAAATTCTGCCTTTCCTTTCTCCCCCCTCTGGGTCCCCAGAGGATATAAATGAAATCTAATCTCCCTCCTTCTGTCTCTTTCTCTCTGGCGCTGACTGTGTCAGCTGCTGTGTCTCTGGGTGCTGAGTTGCAGAGGAACAGGTGACCCTTGGACAGGTGCACCCTTATGTTATAGCTGCAGTTGCAGCATGTCCTGCTTTGTATTTGTGAGTATGCTTTCTGGTAAAATTATGTGATTTGACTCAACCAAAAGCACCTGTAAGTGATTTAATTGCTTTGAATGGAGGTTGATAGCCTAACTAATATAATTAAGATGTTTGTGCCTGTTGTTGACTCTGGTATCGGGGTTGGACTTAAGTCTCTCCGAAACTGTTTAATATTCTGGCCTGCGCTGTTCTCGGAATTTGCAGTAGAAGTTTACCAGACAAACCAGTTTCATTCTCAATACATTCAGCAAATATGCCGCCACAGGAGTCATGCTTGCTGCTGTTTATGAGGAACACACTCTTGTAACCACTGAGAACCTGATTAAGAAGAGTTCCAGACAAATGACTGACCACACTGTCTATCAGCTTGGTAGTTGACGATAAATGGTTAAGATGTCTCTACAACAAAGAATGCACAGAACAATGCATGTCATGTGTCAGGTCCTGCTACAGTTAGCCTTGTTCTTAGGCACAATTTTTGATGGTTACTCAGAATATAGATACAGAATATGATATCAGGAATTAGGCAGCAAGTGATCTGAAGTGGAATAGACAGAGGGAAAGTTTGAAGGCTTATCTCAGTAATGTGCAGGTACAGCTGAGCAATGATGAGATATGAAGTCACTAATATTGCCTGCTTAACCCCTCACTTCCTGCTCTGCAATAACCATTAAGACTTGGTTAGTTTTCTTTCTCAAGGGAAAACAGCACAAAAAAACCATTCAGACTGTTAGATAGTTGTGTAAGTGCAACATGCAGTGTGTTTACTGTTTTTATTGCCAAGTGTTTTCCCAGGATGAATATGAGGCATGCTCATATCTGCCCATGTTGTTTCTGGCATCCATCACTGCTCTGAGTTACTATTCATTAGTGAGTGAGACCTCTATGGCTCGGACTCTAGTGAGGCTTATTTAAATCTCCTGAACGCAGCCCTCCAGCGTTTCTCTGTTCGCCGGGCCAGTGCGCATGCGCTCTGCTGACACGCCAGTAATCCGCTGTTAGGAGATTGCATCCCCATACACTGAGCTCTCCGGCTATTAGTGAGGGAGAATTTAAGCCTTGCGGGAAAACATATATAACCACAGATATAATGGAACCATAACATACTCAAATGAAACTATTAAATCCATGCATTGTTGGATGGAGCAGTTTTACACTGCGAGCAATCTTGCATGCAAAGCTACAACGGGAGCGGAGCGAGGATGTCCACTAAGACGACAAGGCTCGGCATCTGTAGCCCAAACGCTGGGAATATGAGATGAACACAGGCGGGAATGGACCCGGCGGACGTGGGAGAAATTTGCAATTGAATGCTCCTTCCTGGATGAGACCTCTTGGGCTATTTCCATGTTTCTTGAGCGTGTATGTTTTCTCCTGCACGATAATCTCCCTGGCCTCAGTACCACCTTTTAATACAAGTAATGCTTTGCGATGCTGTTAATAAAATAGATTGGAAGCGCGTGCGTTATCAGCGATTAATTATAACGTAATGAGCTTTATTTTTAAGTGCACGAGACTCAGTTTTGGCTAAATAATAAGTTAATACTAAAAGTCAAGTCAAAACAAACCACGGAATTCAGCTCTCCTTAGACTTGAGCCTCAGGCTGTCGATACTCCTCAAAATGCAGCAAATGTCCTAATTGTTTCTGTCAGCTGCGCTGCCTGTAGAGACTTGTTATGACAGCCAGGCAAGTCCCCAGAAATCCAAGTGCAAGCTGACGAACTAGACCGGCCGGCCTCGGCAGACTGGGACGAAGTTGTGTCTCAGTGCAAACAAGGAGCTTCTCCCGTTTCTTGGCACTGGCAGGGCGCTGCAGCCCGAAACGGAACGCTCCTCCTGGGTGTTTTGTCGGATACTACACTGAAGTTCAATCTGAGCTGTTAAGTTCATATGAGTTTGTCGTTTTTTTTTAAGAGGAAATACAAAATTCTTGAAATACCAGAAAAGGTCTAGTCTCTGAAAAAAGCCCTTCACAAGCGTTTCAAATATGGGATTTTATCCAGTTGGAGAAATGCAGCTGCAGTGTTTTGCTGGTAGGCTGAACCTCCACAGCAGCTGTTAGTCAGACTGGATGTCTGAAAGCTGAGACTTAGCTTACACCCTTTCCAGGAGGTGAAATGCATTGATTTCCCTCAGTACCCACACTGTAAATAACCTTGTATATATATTTAGTTTGACTTGTATTCCGGCAAGATCCATGACCTGTTAATCAACATTTTATATTTTTATAGAGCATGATGTCATTGTGTTGTCCTGGATGGTTTTTCCCACTTTTTGAACCTTAGGTTTTTCAAAAATGTAGCCTGCTGTACGGCTGCTGAGATGCCCCTTTCATGCTTTTCCTGATATTTTGAGCATGTGCTCAGGAGAGAGAAGCCAGGCATGAGACTACACTGCCTGGTGAGTTGTGTCAGAGGGAATGCGGGAGGAATTATGAGTGGCACCGAGAAAGACATGGTGCAGAGTGTTACAAGCTTAAAATCTACAGGAGAGAGAATTATGAGCCGTTGCTGTGAGAGAATAGTATTTTTTTTCTCCCTGAGATCAGCTGCTACATTGGAATCAGCGTTCTATACATAAAATTGCTGTTTGATTTGAGGCCTTCTTCCTCTGTGCACTGTGGAAATTCACCCTGATCTGCATTCTTGGCCACCTACAACTCGCTTTGACTACCCTTATCTTTGATCCCCTGATGCTGTGTTTTGTTTTTACCGTCCTGAGTTCTTTTGCGGGAGGAAGGTCTACCTATTTGAAGCAGAAACTTATCAGTATGCAATTTACAGCAAATAGAAACACATGATAAGATTTGCTGGTGTGGTCCAAACAGCCCCGTTAGTCTCTTTACCTCAGTGTGTCTCTGAATACAATCGTGGATGCCTTGACAACTTTTGTGCTCTAGAGAAAAACAAAACAGTCAGATCCTCCTGTCAAAGTACATTCAGAGACTGATTTCTTTTCACCGTGGCGATGGGGAGTTCGGCTTCATCTCTCACTGCAGACAATGTCTTCCGCAGTACCCCCTCCCCATCGTCACCCACTGTGGGCTGGCTCAGGAACAGCCACAGCAGCCCGGTGTGGGGTACCACCTTCATCACACGTCAGCAGCAGCACCCGCTGCCTCACCGAGAGCGCAGGTAAGAGCCAGCAAGGTCTAAGCACCTGGGACAAGCTCATCTCTTGGTTGAGTGCACTTGGGGCAGGACTGGCCTGGCTTAGCAGCTTGTTGGGAGAATTGTGGGAGGAATGTGCCACAGGGTTGTATTACACCAGACAGTTGTGAGTGTACAAAGTGGTGTTATTTTGAGGCTCTTGTGCTGTTGTCTTCGGCTTCAGTATGTGAGTGATATGTGCTCTGTGTTGTAAAATGACTATCAGAATTGTTCATTTGGGAAACCTCATGCTTTTCGTTTTCTTACTTTAACGCATTTTCTGAGGATTTATGACTGTCATAGCTATAAATCAAATCTACATCATCACCACTCATCTAGTCTAAGCCTGCATTTTGATGTTTTTGTGTGATTCACCCAAAATCTCACTAAGCCGGATTTGTAAAGTGAAATCCCACCCTACTGGCTCCTCCTGGCACAGCTGTGCATCATGTGCTATGGTTTAGAGGGTGCTGAGTGGATTGCCAGGGCAGATGGATTGACCTCACCTTCCTGAGCCCAATGAAAGGCAGCCCAAGGCTAATTAGAAGATGGGATTTGCTAATACACTTGTTTTTATCAGCCCTCAAGACGAGCTTTGATTCAGTTTTATTAATTTTGAAAATGATTTAAAAACAGAGAGACTACATTCCCTTAGAGTGCATCTTGTTAAGTGTGGCTACACAGAGGTGTATTTTAAATTCAGATACAAGATCTATTAGGGGTTTCTCTATGATGAACCCTCTTATGGAGCCGCTGTAGCAGCGGCCGGGTTATTGAGCAAGTGTAATGTTTAACTGTGGAAAAGACATGCTATTCATATCGACTGATTTCTGTCTTGACTGCGTTGAACAGATATAGTTACTACAAGAGAAACTGGGCTGCAATAATCCACTGTTCCAGTCATTTTATTTTGTGAAAGGCCTGTCAGCAGTCGGTGAGAAGCTCAGTTTGAACGTGCAGCTCATCCAGCAGTTTTGACTGACTTTCTTCCAGAGACTGTTCTTGTCAACCACCCTCAAAGAAACTTTTTTAGAAGTGCTTCCAGTTTTCCTTCAGCTTTTTGGGTCACGTCTCCAGGAAAGAGAACAGGCAGTTGATATCGACCGCCTGTAGTATATTGAAGTTGTTGCTGAGTCACTCAGGGTATCATGGTCTGCTTGTTAGTTATTGATTTTCAGAGAACCTGATCGCATTTCTTCACAATGGATGCCATTATTTATTCAGCATCAGTCCGCAGCTAGGCTTTTATCTCTCTTCATTCCTGCCTGTCGATGTCAGTGCTTTCCTTGCAGTTACTCTACATTTAAGAATTAGACTGCCATGGCTTACATTGCTTACTCTGTCTTTAAATATATAGACCGGGCTGGTTTTAGCCCATGATTAAGCCCGGTTCCATGCATGAATGAAACTCAAGTGTAGGTCATGCTGTCAGTGTACTTTCGCATCATACAGGCAACTTTTTATTTCTTTAAATCAAAGCACCTTTTCATGCGTTTGTGCATCTTGTAGCAACAAGCTTCTGCCTACATCACCAATCACACCACACCCTCTCTCAACTGAGCATGTAAACACACACAGACATGCAAGATGTACAGTACATGCCATTTCTGTCTACTCATTGTGAGGGAGGCGCACGCTAATTCACATATTCCAGTAGATGTTTTAGAAACATTGTGCAGTACTTGGAACGTGCCCTCTTCTCTGCCCCACTTCATCTCTCTCATACACTCACTCACAGTCTTATGCACATACACACTGCTGTGTGAGCCTAACAGTGTCAGGCGAGCTTTGCCGAGCTGTGACAGAGCATGAAATATAGAAACAACAGAATACTAAGAGCCCAGCTTTGCTTCAGCTTTTCTCATACAATCTATTCTCCAATATATTGTCCTATAAAACAGTTTCTTTTCTTTGCTTGGTGACTGCATGAACAGTCTTGTCCTTGGGTATTTTCAGTTTGTTTTCATTCAGCAGCAACCCATTGACTTTGGCAAGTGTTTGTGTGCATTGAATCAATATCTCACCTGAAGAGCTGCAATGCTTTATAACTTTGGAATCACAATATGCTCTTTATTTTAATGAATAGTTTTATCCCAGTGCTATTATTGGTTAGGTCAACAGTATTTCTGCGCTTCCTTTAATCTCTGCACCATTCAAACAATGTGTTATGTTGCACATTGGGAGTCCCAAAACTTTAAAGTCAGTGCCTGCTCTCTTCAGAATTGATCCCAGCACCTCTTCTGTACTAGTGTAATGGATGCTGGTGCTCATTCCATTCCACTCACTGTCCTCCCTTTAATTGGATTAAAGCAGGTCCACTTGGATTCAACCAGCATGGTCACTGGCTGTGTTTATGTCTGAATTATTTCAGCATGTTTTCACTTGCTGTTGCCTGCCTGATGAAGACAGGGTCATGTCAGGACAGCCCCCAGGCCTCCAGAGTAGATTTGGCACACTGTCTTTTTCTGGCACTGTGGTTTTCTTGGAAAAACAGAGAATGGATGCAGGGGGGGAAAAAAACTGCCTATTGGCACAGGAGCTGACATTATTCTAGATTCCCCCACTGTTGTTGCCATGGAAATCTGTAGCGTATGTTCAGTAACCTAATTCTGTTCAGCCCTAGATAAGACCGTACATGGTAACCTGGCAGTCTTACACCCAGAAAAGAAAAGCTGTGGACTACCCATGTCAGTGTTTAGTGGTGTCAGATAGAAGCTAGTGAGCTAAAGCAACCTCATGGCAAGTGGTTTGTACTGGTCTGCCTTTTAGAGTTTAACGTTGTGTTTTCCTAGTAACAGGAAGTAAAACTCTACTTTGTGCTGTGTGTTTGAGAAGTTCCCCTCTGGCTGAAGGCAGCAGTGCTCCTACCCTCCAGGTTTGGGTGCCCGCAGCACTGCCCCCCTGGCGTATCTTCCCTTTGTTCCTCCCTGACTCTGGAGCTTCCTGCAAGCTTCCTGCTTTCTCTGGTTCTGCTTCGTACAACTGATGTCTGCTGGAACACAGTCAGACAGTTTCCACTGTTTAAAGATTCACAGGTTTGAAATGGGCTCCATCACTGAGACATTCCCTTATCAAAAATGAGCACTGGTAGTGAAATATTCACCGAGGGCACATTTAGAAGTCAGATGCTGACCTTGGTCTTTCTCTTCCCCTTTCCTGGCCACTACAGTATTTGCATTCTTAGTATCTTCAATCTGTTATTCAAGAGAAATTATTTAGTTCACACATTTTGATAGCAGCTCCTCAACATCTGACTCCCGAAGCTTTTCATATTCCTCATATTTTGTGCTGTGGTTAGTTTGCAGACAGTGAAACAAGCTGTCGGGTTCTGACTTTTTGTCTTTTGAGCAAAATCTGTCTTTTCAAAGCCAAAATACCTCCATGCGAGTGAGGATGATGCACGTCTAGTAGTTAACAACGTAAATTGCAGAGCTGGTGGTGTCTGTGTTTTGTCACCTGGCGCCTCTGGCTCACTCATTTTTAATTTTGCTAATGCTTTTTTAGGCAGCTATGTTAACTTAACTTGTGTGCAGTGACCATGCACATACTGCATGCACTCTGAATGCACATGTGCAGTAGTCTATCCTGTTTGGCTACATGAGGCTGTGAATGTGTGGACTCTCAAGGCATGTTTTTGATTGTTTTTCTAAAATGAGTGACCTACAACAGCAATGGCAATATTATTGTAGATGATATATATATTGCACATACCTAGCTCTAGACCATGAGACCTGTATTATTGCCAGGCTTACATAAAAACAACAACAGCAGCAACAGTCAACTGTCTTGAAGTTTAAATCATAAAAAGCATAACACGGCTCAGATATTTCTATAGCATCACACCCTACTGGTAATGTTTATTTTTTACAAGAAGGGAAAGTTTATTTAGTTTTTAAAATTGGTCTTGGCCTCAGCGATGATTATTGGAGGAATGGCTCTGCCTAAGGACACTTTTTCAACAGACTTTTGGTCTAATTTGTTTTGGTAGGATTCTTTGTGCCACCACCATAACATTTTATACACCTATTCTGTCACAAGAAGTCTTTCTCCCCCTTAATAAGTGTCCTGCTCAGCATTACATAATCCAAATTTCCCCAGTTATCGTGTTGATTTTGTCCCCAATGATTGAGGCTTCACTGTCACAAATACCATCACGTCACCAGCTTGTCAGAGTAATTAATAAGTGTCCTGCTCAGCATTACATCATCCAAATTTCCCCAGTTATCGTGTTGTTTTTGTCCCCAATGATTAAGGCTTCACTGTCACAAATACCATCATGTCACCAGCTTGTCAGAGTAAAAACTGTCTAACATTAAAGTCTGGGCTCCAGATACTCATGTCAACAGTCAGTGGCTAATGAATTCTGGATGCCGGTCCGGTTTGACTACTGAGTCATAATCATGCCACAACCTATAGTATGACAGGTAGAAAGGAGGCCCTTACAGTTAAACTGACCCCGACTGATCAGTTCCTCTGAAAGGCAGAGAGGATGGCTTCCTAGTGCTTATAACGGATTAGGTTGTTCTGATCTCTCATGATAGATAAATTCCACGTTGAAGTGATAAACAAAACTTGTCAGTAGAACCTCTGTAGACACATTGCATTCTTTACTAAAGGGATGATCTACATTCTCAGGTGTGTGAAGTGTTGAACCAGTCCCTGTCACTGGAGTTTTCTGGGTGTGTTTAGATGCATCAAAATATTTCAACATTCATTAGCTTTTGTTAAACAAGAATTGGCACTCAGTGGACATCATCGTTCTGTCTGTGTGGAAGGAGAAAACAAAAAGCATAGGCAGTGATACCGGCACTTTGAAAACTCCAGATAATGCTTCTGTAGCTACTGCCACTTCTAGGGTCAGACAGGTTCATCATCCAGTAAACAATAACAAAGATGCTTTCCCAACATAAATGTTTTTATAAGCTACGGTATTTACGGCTTGAGTTCTTTCTGTGTTTACAAAAAGCCACACCTGTAAATATTTATCACAAGAGTGACTCACTTTATTAGAGTGTGTTTGCGTGGGGAGCTGCATCTGCAGCACGTCTCTCAGTGTGAGTGCGTTGCCGTCAGGACCTAGAGTTATCACACACAGCCTGTGAGTAATCCCACTTAATTGATGTTTGGCAGGAAATCCAAATAGCTCAGGAAAATGTGTACATTTGAGGTGAGGTAATACAAATAACAAATCAAGTGCACTGTGAGCAGATGAAGTGTAGCATGTTTAATATAAAATGAGATTAAACAGTTTATTTCTGTATGGAAATTAGTTGTGTAGTTATAAAAAGTACCAACAACTGACTAAGAGATGCTGGAATCTTAAGAGGAAGCAGTAGAAGTAGTTAAAATAGCAAAATTATCACAAATGCTTAAAGCAAGTATAAAGCGATATGGACCTCAATACTTTATGTAAACGTCAATCTATAATGGTAACACTGAGACTAGCAAGGATTATTAAATAAAAATGACTGGGGCTCTGATTATTTACATTATTGATTACTCTATTGATAATTAACTAAGCTTAATCGACCCCATATGAGTAGCTTAAAATGATTTCAACCTTCAGCCTAGGAATCCCCAAATATTCCTTTACTAATGATCTGAAACTTTGTGAAGCTGAGCTGGTGCTATTTTATTTATTTATTTATTTACTTAAACTGGTGATTGCTGATTATAAAACTGACTTACATTAATTAGCCAGTTGTTTCAGCAGTCATATTCAGCATTTGAGATGGTCTGTTAATTGTGACACAGTAATTAGCCATGTTTTGAAGTTTTTTAATATTCTATTTTTTGCCATTGGTCACAGTTCTCACATCTTTTACAAAGTGTAGTTTCTTTATGTATTTCTCTGCTGTCTGCAGGTTGCACAAAAGCCTAGGCAGTAGCTACAATGTAAAAGTCTACTGACAGGTTTGACCCAGCACTGTGTGGATTAAATAAAAAAAACTGTTGGAGCAGCTTAGTCTGTCACATTGAATCACCAAAGAAAAGGACTGTCAGCAATAATAACATCCAGTTTCGTGGTGACCCAGTCTTTAAGGAGGGTAGCGTGTCCTCTCCTCAGGCGCTGGGCTCAGGACCAACCTTGGAAAGGCAGTGTTAATGACTGCCACACTAGGGCCAAATGTCTCACAGAGAAGCAGGGAGAAACTGGCCAGACCCGGCTCACTTGATCTCTCAACAGAATTATGTGGAGGTTATCCACATAGCCAGCCATAGGTGGTCTACACACTGTCAGCAGTTCCTTTGTAGGCTTGCTCCAGCCTCATTGCTCTCTGTTTCTCATAGGCACCTTTTTCTTGAGTCTGAAAATGTAACTTTTCCTCCTCACCATAATGTTATAGCTTTGCTTGTTTTTACTGAGGGTTTTAGAGCTCACACTCCTTGTAATAGTCTGCTGAAGCACTCTGTGATTGTCTTGCCTCTGGTGAAGCATCGAAAAATTAGCCAAGGGTCATTGATGCTTTTACTTAAGAGAACCTAGACAAGGAACAGGTACTTTATGGACAGCAGGCTGCATTGAGGATGTTGTTGCAAAAAGGTGGGTTTTCTAGAGGTGAGATCAGTCTCTCTCTCTAACCACTGCAAGTTATTGGCATCCTGCCCAGGTCTGTGACACCGAGCAACTGAGGAGCTGAAGTGGCCACTGTTAGAGCAGCTCCACTGAACAAAGGGCCAAGAGCAAAGTGTGTGTGTGTGTGTGTGTGTGTGTGTGTGTGTGTGTGTGTGTGTGTGTGTGTGTGTGTGTGCGCGCGCAGTCATGATGCATTCACAGTGCATATTTAATTGGGCCAGACTTGTTGTTGTTGTTGTTTATCATGTGTTACTTTCATTTGTTAGGTTAAATGATTGCAACGGATAGTAATGAGATAAGTGAGCTACAGTGAGGGCCTGGACCAAATCAGTCACTTTGGTAAAATCTTCATGTTTTTGTCACAGTGACTTGGTTCTCTCACTGGAGATGAAAGATGTCTGACAGTTCTGAAAATGGCCACAGGGAAGAACCTATCATCAAACATGAGGCAGTGACACTTGCTACTGTTGTTGTTGTCTTTGTCGTTGCAGTTTGTGGGCCTTTGAAGAGCTAAGCATGGTGTGAGCATGTGCCAGCAGTGCTAGCATGGGGCTGTCACTTAATTCATCCACATTTAACTAAACTGCTGAGAGAGCGGGTACTGTGTTGTAGCCTGAGGACACAGTGCAGGTTTTGTGGGCATAGATGAAATGGTTCCACAGCACAGTGCAGAATTATTTTCTGCAAATAACTTTGGTGCTTTTTTTTTCACATTCTTACTCATTGAGTGATGTTGCATAGCTACTAGGAGCAGGGGCAGAAAATTTTGGATGCGGTGCACAGGCCGGGCCACAGACTCGAAGAGGGGTGTGACATTTGAAATACATGTGAAAAGTTAAGTAAATCCCTGGTTCTATGAAATAATAAACTAGACATTATTGATTTCAGTTTATTCTGTGTAAAATGAGACACACATAGTGCTTTCTTTAGTTAACTTTGGCTGCGCTCCTTATTTACTCCTGGTCAGGGACATCACTGCTGCACCTAAAATAAAATGTATTTGACCAATATCACTTATAAAGCACCAGAAAAAAATGTTGTATTTAAAGCAACAATTTTTCATTTCCACCAATTTATACTGACAAGCATCACATTTTTATTATGGCAGGGGTGGTACCAGGGGTGGCCAGTGCCACCCTTGGCCACGTCCTGGATCCGTTCATGACTAGGAGGACATGGCAGATAGTGCTGTGGGATGAAAGACTAAGAAAAATGGTGTAAAGTACTGATTTCTCAGTGTTTGTGTGTCTTCAAAAAATGTATTTCCCTATTTTACTTATTGTTGTCATTGGCAGGCTGAGTTTTCTCTTCACTCTGGGGAGCCTGACATAAAGCACTGGGACTTCTACCTCCATACTTTTTTTTGCCCTGGCCTGAGGACACACAAACGTAGGCACAGATATGGTTAGACACTAAAACAAGCAACTGTGCTGTATCTACAAATAATTATAACTACATGCCTACATACACACAGATCCACACACCCAGCGGCAGGACACACACATACTCATCTACACCCAAAGAGAGACATTAGTATACCTCCCTGTTGCCATTCTCCAGCTTACCTTAGGGAGGAGAGTTGACAGCGTGCTGAGAGGCTGTCTGTAAGAGGTTCCCCTGGGTTCTAAAGATTTGTCTGGTTTGAAAGGGTTTAATGGAGTTGAACTAAGGGCAGTTAGCCTGCAAGGACACATGGTGCTGCAGTGGAATAGAGCAGGATCTTGGCTGGCCAGCCAGCACTCACTCTCAAGGCTTTTCTGTACTTCATCAGTGGCATAAAAATGTCACATGGACTGTGAGGTTGTTTTCCTCTGCGGCCTAATTTGAAAAGAACAAACAAAACATTTTTTTTTAAATAAGAGGGTATAAACATCTTAAAAATAGCCACAAACCATTGATTCCCCATAAAAGTCTTTGTCAGCCATAGACATCAGCATAGTTCCCTAAAATATAATAAAGAAGGATAAATGTGAGCAAAGCCACAAACTCCACAGTGATTCTATGAGCAACATCTGCCACTGTCCAGTATCCTACAATTCCCACAATAACTTGTCTGTGTTGGTGTTCACACATGAGCAGCTTGAGTGACAGTGACATTTATGGGTTTGTCCAGATAGCAACCATCCCTTGGGGCTGTCCCTCTCCAAACCCTCCCTTGCAGTCTGGAGGTATCCAGCTGTGCTGCTTCCCTCCCAAAAGACCCTAATATGCCTATTGATTGACTACACTGCAGGCACAAACAAAGAATTGTACTTACAAGTCAATACACAAAAACAGACTGCTTTGGCTTATTATGTGTGGGAGGTGGAAATCAACAGAGATGGACTGCTTCCTATACATCTGAATGAAGACCGCTAAAACAAATTTATTCTCCTCACGTTTCCCTCTGCACTGTTTACTGATGACATGCTGCTAAATTTGCTGATACTGGTTGTTTAAATTGCTTAAAATTCAGTGTTATGAATGATTAGTCATTAAAATATGCCAAAGTCACAAGTGCTGCTAGAATGAATAGACCCATCCATTCAAAATTCATTTGGGCATGGGATTGACATGGCCTTAAGTTGCCCCCATCTGCCCTACATTAACATTCCCTGAGTGTAATCACAGAGAGGTGCTAATATGAAATGGAAATGATCACGTGTATTTCTATTTTATCAAGTGTCAGTCAGGAGGACTGAAGGAACGCTTGGCTTATTATTGTGAGGAAATAACAGTCTCCTCTGGCACCTCCTCTCTATGTGCAGTCTTCCTTGCTCTAATCATGTAGCCATTGTGTATGGATTTACTGCCCTCAGTCTCCCAGGGAGGGAGATATAATTTTTCCCCTGCACTGGCTAATCTTTCCCTCTCACACTATATTTTACTTTTCTAATTCTGTCTGTTTCTTCTCCGCTTGCAGTCTTAGATGTTTTCGCTGTCCTGTCTTCTTTTAGATAATCGCCCAGAGTTGGCTGGAAGCATGTATTAATTCTCTGACTTCTCTTCTGACTTTGTGTAATTCTTTTATTTCTGACTCTTATTGACACAATATTGCTTCTCTTTTTCTTCCTCCTTTGCTTCAGTGACACTTTGCTCAAGCCTGGCACAGACTATTACTAACTGAAGTGATTGAACAGTGATATGCTTAATATGTATAGCTAAAGAATTTCAGAATTGTTACATGTTGAATTATTGTTCATTGTTTACTGTTTTCCAGCCACTCTCACTCTCCTGGCTCCATGGCAGCAGCAGTGCAGGGCACTGAGTGGTCATGTGGGCGCTGCACCTTCTTAAATGTCGGTGCAGCACCTCGCTGTTCCATCTGTGAGGCACCACGTCAGAAGCCTGACCTTAACCAGATCCTGCGGCTGAGCAGCACTGAGGAGCATCGCTGGGCCTGCCCCCGCTGTACGCTCAAAAATCCCCAGGGAACTGGAGCCTGCTCCGTCTGTGGCTTTGGACCATCCCCTGCCACTCACACACCTCCTACCACCACCATAGCTGCCACTGCCAATGGCATCCCATCTGCTCCGCCCGAGCCCCCACCACCAACTGTCACCCCCACAGTGCTGCTAGAGCCCCATGGACAGCATCCAACAAAGGAGGAGGTGCTGCGACGGTCTGAGAGCAACGGAGAGGTGGGTAGCTTGGAGGTACAGCGCTTGGGCTGGGCTTGTCCTCGCTGCACACTTCACAACACACCTGTGGCTTTTTCATGTTCAGCCTGTGGTGGGCCCAGGAAACTGTCTCTGCCTAAAATCCCCCCTGAGGCACTGGTGGTACCTGAGGTGCGCACACCCGTGCTGGGGTTTCCTGTTCACACAGCAGGGGCTGCTCCTCTACTCATAGACCTAACAGATGACTCTCCACCAGCTCCACCCTGTGATCCTCAAGAATCCCCACATGTCTCCTCCCCTTTTACTGCTTTCTCCTCCCTGCAGAACAACCCTGTGCCCCGCAGCAGGAGAGAGGTGCCACCTCCAGGGCGCCCACCAAACACAGGCACCAACACCCCCAGTCCAACTTCCCCTTCAGCAGTCAGTGTGCCACCACAACCATGCCCACAGCGGCCAGCCAAGCCAAAACATGCCCAACCCCAGGAACCTTCATACCCCAGCAAGCGCCTCAGCATCTTGGAGGAAGAAGACCCTCAGCACCACCCACTGACCCCCCACATCCCTGTGGCTTCCTCAGCTGCCCCCACCTGGAAGTGCCCTAGCTGCTCAATGCCCAACCCAGGTAGCTCATCTAAGTGCGAGGCCTGCCGATCATCACGGGCCGGTGCTGACCTCATTGACCTGGTAGGATGTGAGACGGTACGATTTACCCCAGCCAGCCCATCCAGTCCGGACTTTAGCACCTGGGCCTGCTCCAAATGCACGCTGCGCAACCCTACAGGTGCACCCAAGTGCTCTGCCTGCGGTTCTTCCAAGCTGCATGGCTTTCAGGAACAACAGGCACCCCTGCCCCGCTGTTGTACACACTGTGCTCTCCCACTGGGGCCTGGCACTGCATCATGTTCTTGTACACCCTCCTCTACTTCATCCTCGGGTCATAAAACACGGAAACAGTCCCGGGGCTTCCCTTCCTCCTCCTCTGCTATTACCTCTTCCACGTCCTCTTCCTCCTCAACCTCATTGAGCCTTCAGGAGAAGGTAGGACAGTGGAGCTGCCCAGCATGTACACTGCTCAATGACATCAAGGCCAAGAACTGTGCAGCATGCCACACGCCCCAGCAGTATCTCACTCTTCGCAAGGTGGTAAAGCCTCTGAAAAGGAGGGAGAGTATGCATGTAGAGGCCCGTCGACGAAATGATGAGGGCGAGGCCAAGGAGCTTTGGGAGAACATAGTCAGCTTCTGCAGAGAGGTAAGAGACAATTAGCTGTAGCTGGGAAGCACAAGAAAATAACACTTTAATGATACATGGCTCAAAAGTTTGAGACATTTTCATTACCTTTCCCGTGTTAGGTTTTTCTGTTGTACTGAGTTTCAGATTTTTTTTTAAATCTGAACAAAAAAAGAGCACATTTTCATCCACAGGCAACAACTGTAGATTTATTATTTTATTTATTTATTTATTGTCCAGCAACTATGAGTTCCATGTGTCAGTTTTTTTTTTCCTTCTTCTTCTAAACTTTCCATGTTAAGTTTTCCTTGACTTTGAGAAGAAGAACTCTGCTGACATCAGTGTGCAAAGCATCACAGGGTGTGTGTTCCCCTCCTCTATTTGTTATGGCTCTGGCATTGTTCCTACACTCTCAATCTCTCTAATTTCACAGAAATGCTAATAGGCTTTGCCATTGCCTCTGTTTGCACTTTCTTTATTAGCTGAGTTTAAAGAGTTTAAACGGCCGCCAGGTGATTCTTGGCCACCTAAATAAGATGCATATGCAGAGCATCCCATTTTAAAATCCAGACTGTGCCCCTAGTCACAGAGAAGCAACTTTATAAAAGTCTGTTTCACAACTGTAACTTATGTATTTGGGCTCCCTATTGAGACTAGTTTTATAGCTTCTTCTGTGTGTGTTTAAATGCTGACAGCTTAGCTTTACTCTGACCTTCTATTACTTGTCTTCACTTGAGTCCAACCACAACTTTAGAGTTCTTATTTAGGAAGCTATTGGACTACTTAATGGAATAGGTGTTATTGTATAATAACAGGTGTGTCTGTGGGAGACACAATGATCAAAAACAATTTAGTCATTCAGAATGTATTTTCCCTTTACAATGAACTTCACTTCTTCAATTTGTCAAGTTAGTAAAACATCAGAAATGTGGTTCTTGTTCAACAGACAATAGATGTTCTTTGCTATATCCGTATACATGAAACAGAACATTTGCATTAAGGTGCATACCCATCACAGTATAACTGGCAAAAAGAAAATTATTAATGGTTTTATTTTTCTCAATAGAGAAAAAGCTAACTATGCTTTTGTAATTACAGGCTTGTCGGTTGTCATAACAATCTAAAATAATGATGCATTTTTACCTGCTCCAACACATCTGCATTTTATTTATAAAAGTGAAGAGTTCAGTTGTGTTGTTCATGAGCCCTGATTGGTCTGATTCACAGTGTCACAGCTGTTTGGAGGTACTGAAGTGTCTGCCTGACCACCTGTAGTTAAGATGTGATGATGTTGCTCCTTTGTATCACCCCACTTCATGCTCATTTTGTCTCTGCGATGCTGAACCTTTAATAAGCCTGTAATATGTTGTCATGGATATGCTACCAGAAGGGATCACTGGAGATCATTTGTTAAGCAGACTATGTAACACCTGTGCTAATCGGACAACGCTGATTGAACTCATTAAACCCTAGGAAAAATGGAGGCTTGGCAGAATCCAAAAGTGTTAAGATTCAGGTCATTTTTGGAGAAGGATTATATTTTCAGAATTTATTTTGATGTCTGCTGCACTTACTACACTGCCATGGCACCTATCATGCCGTGTTTACAATAGAATGAAGTGAGCTTTAAAATGCATTATTAATGGCTTCTTTGAAAGTCACAGGGCTCACTGCTGCAAGTGTGGAAGGGAAGTTGGCTCAGTAGGAAAGAAGGATATAGGAGATCCCCTCATTTCCATCTTTCCCTTCTTATTTTCTAATTTAAGATTGTCATTTAGGCTACTCTTTCTTTTATCATCTTTACTTTTCTCCTAGAAATACAGTATTTTAGGCCTCCATTCTTATATACTACTACCATTCTTTATACTACTTGTTGCTTGAATTTTTGCCACTTACAGGGTTTTCTTCTGTTTCCATGCCCTTCCATTGCATCTACCCCTACACGCTCATCAGGTTTTTTTTTCTCCTCTGTCTTAATATCTCAAAATATGCTTTCCCATTGGCACCATCCCCATCCTTCTCTCTTCACACGACTGCACTCTGTTCTCCAGTGTAGCAGTCAATGTATGACTGTGTGTGTGTGTGTGGAAGGTGAACACAGGGGCTGGCCTATTTTTAGCAGCAAAGCTAGAGAGAGGAGAAGCACAGAAATGATCTACTTCCCTATAGTGAATGTAATCACTAACAGCATCAACTGCTGCAACTTGTTTTTGGGTGCCATAGGGATGAAAAGGGGAAAACTTGTAAACAAGAGGTGCAAGTCATTCTAATCCATCTCTGTCAAGGCATAAACACTTGGCGAGCCTCGAAATACCTGTGGGTGAAAATAGAATAATGAATAAATCTTTTGGTGTAGCGTGGGTAGTCAGACAACACAAATCCAGTTTTAGACCTCAGGTTTTTGTTTAGTTCAGATTTGCTTTCCAGACTTGTTGGACTATAGGAGATGGTGTTGCTGATAAAATGTACTGTATAAGTAACCTGAGAGTTTTTCCAGGTTGCAGCAATCAATGGGATCAAGTGCAGCTGGAGTTGAGGTGTAAGAAATTATATTCCCTTCTGCCGGGCGCAGTTTGCTTCCTGTGCCTCTTTGCTTCTCTGTTTTTCCTGATTAGCTTTGAGGTTGAGAGGTGTTTGCTTTATGCTAGTGCCCCTGAGTGTGTCTGTTTATTGATTGTGCCAAACAGGTAAATGGTACTAATAGCCATCAGACCTGCTTGTGAAGTGTAAGCCCTCTGTTACCTCTCCATATCACCCTCTGAGGGAGCAACAAACAGATGCCACATTGCAACAGACTGACTATGGTTTGCTTTTTCTTTCTTCATACCATTCTTTATACTACTTGTTGCTTGAATTTTTGCCACTTATAGGAATTTTTGTGGGGTTTTGTTCTCGATTATAAGTTATTATTCCCTGCAGTGACAGGTTTTCACTGCCTGTGACAGAACTGTACATGACAGGCTGTTCTGTTCTGCTTTTGTTTTGGGATTTAATAAGTGTGGTACTGTGAAATCCAGCTCTATAGTTCTTTGTCACCACACTTTTTTTGGAGATCAATAGGTTGCCACATGTAGATATCTAGCTACAAGCTTAATATTCTTAAAAAATGCCTAGTATGGCTGCCAACAATATGCAAGAGCTGTAAGGTTTTGCCACAAACTCAGACTGCCTTCCCTCCTATGAATTCACGAGTCTCTTCTGACCTTATATCTATGCATGAGCTTTTAACTTATAACTGAAGCTGTGTGTAACCATATATCCTATTTTGACCTTCACCACACCGCACCGGGCAGTGACATTGTCCAGCAAAGGCATTGTGTTGATCACCGCACCGGGCAGTGACATTGTCCAGTCATTGTGTTGACCAATCATGTACAGGGAATGAGTGGAACGTGGATGCCCATGGGAATAAGACTCTTGTTTACCTTGTTAGCATGAGCATTTGCTATTCACTGTCAAGTTTGGGCCACAATTAATGCACCATAATGACATGCCATGCATTTTCGTTAGTACTGAATGTTAATTGTTTATGTGTAGACTGTGTGCTGCATTAGTCTGAATTTCAGCCTCTGTGTGTGTCCTGGGCCAAAGCGCCCATATTCACCTTTGTGGTAAATTTATACTGGCCTCTAAAACGATACAACAAAAGCTAGTAGAAGGATAAACCATAAGCAAGTAGGCTACAGAATCAGTAAGCTTCAGCTTGGATGGTTGGGGTGGAAAGGCAACATTAAAATGATTCTCTCTGGTAGCTATTGCTGCATGCAGGCTACAGAGTTGGATTGGGGAGGATGAGGTTCAATTCGCCCCATTGTGAGCCACCAGCGGGGTGCCCACATTATATCCCCTGCCTGTCTTGTAACACGACTGGCCAAGCCCACTTCTGACACCACTAATAGGAAACTGGATATGGTTGCGTGTATGGCTGTTTGCCCTCTCGTGTGTGTATATAGGAGAGTTGTAGATGGATAGTGTGTCAGATTGGGTGTCTTGATTTGTTAATGTATCCATGTCCAGGTCATCTGTACAGTAGAAAGGCAGCTGCAGTTCAGTGTTAAAATCATCAAAGTGTCATTTTAAATACTTGGTGCTCTGCAGGGAGTGTGTCAGTAAAGCGGAGTGGAGTGCTTTAAATGTTTACACATGATTTGCATTTGTGTCCTGTATCCTGCTACACACGTGTGATGCCACACAAACAGTAGAAGTAATTCCTCCTGCCACATGAATACATTTGGGAGGCAGTTGTTGGTCTGTAGTGTGTTGTTTTTTTGTTTTTTTTAAATCATATGTCCTGTCAAAAATGAAGAGTAGAGATGAGACTAACAATTAGTTCTCAAAGATCAGTGTCTTTCAGGCTTGCATTAGCTGTTTGAAAAGTTTTATTTTAAATTTTTCTTTCCAGCTTCTTTGGGTAGATTTAAAATGAGTTTTTCTAAGATTTCCTATTTTATATGAACATTGTGAAAGTATTTGAATAGTTTCACTCCTTTATCATCTTTATCACTTTCTCTCTGCACCATCCACTGTCTTCTTATAATCCATGCTCAGAACAAAGTGAACTTTGTGGATGACAGTTTCCCCCCTGGACCTCGCTCTGTGGGCTTCCCTGAGGGCGACAGTGTCCAGCAGCGAATCAAAAAGTGGCTGCGACCCCATGAGATCAACTGCAGCAACTTCAAAGACAGAGGCGTCAAGTGGTCCGTCTTCCGCACGCCGCGGCCCTCTGACATCCTGCAAGGCCTGCTCGGAAACTGCTGGTGAGCCATCAGAACAGAACGCAAGTTAACAACAACATAAATCAGTGTAGATGACCAAGAATTGTCTAGAGGCTGGCAATTCATTTATGTAAACAGGGAAATTTGCCTGATTAATCGACAAATAAGAATAGCAAAACATGTATCAAGAGATGACAGGCAAGGCTTCAAATGTGTATGGTTTCTGTCTGAGGCTGCTTTAGATGAACAGTCCAGTCTGGAGCTAGGAGACTGAGAGATGTAGACAAAGACAAGTGGCAAAGAAGTAGTGAAACAATAAGTAAAGAAAGAGAAAGCAAAAAACTGGGAAGAAGGCAAGCATTAAATGAAAGAGAGCAGGGTGGAGTTGGACAGATGTGTAGATACACCTGACAGGGAGATTATTCAGCAGCATGTGGGTCTGGAAACATGCTTTATCTCCCTGCCCTTGTTCTGTGTGTCCTTTGGGGTGTATGCACATTGCCATCCACCATCTTCCTCTTACACAACAAAGAACAGTCACTCACAGATTTGTACAACTTTTCGCTTCACCATCACATGCGGCCTATCAAAAATAACCCTCCCCTGAGCCCAATCCACTCGCTCGCAACAGGATGTAACCCAAATTCTCTCTCTCTCACTCTCTCATACACACACAGACACTCATTTGTCCTAATAAACCAGCAAACATCCTAGCTCTTGCCAGCCAATCAGTGATAGCAGAAGAAAGTAGCACCAATGACCCTTGTCCTTGAGTATGGCTGCAATACCAGTTGACATTAGAGTCACATAATGACACAGCTAATTGGATTTTCATCTGGCTCTTTGTAGGCAATTGGCATTTCATCAGTGGCTCAATGGGCTGATCATCCTCACTCAGCTGGTGCTTGAACAGATGGACTATAGCTTTAATAATATGCATTTCCAACTCCACACAAAAGAGTTTCAGTCTTTGAAACAACTGCTAATACACATTGTGGACTGAAAGGGATACTGTTTTCAAAGGTTGCTAATCCGTTTGATGCATTTTAGCTGTGTTGTTTATATGGGGGTCAACATACTGTGTACAAAATTTGTGGTAAGTCATTAGCTCATTATGTCTAAACCTCTAGTGATTGTAGCCATTTCATCAATATTATGATCTCCTTTTTACATTTGCAGATGAGCTTGTGTTCACTTTAGAATATATTCCGTATAAGTTGAATTCTTGTATCCCCAGATGCATTTCTCTTGTGTTAAGAATTAGCATTTTCTAATGTATCTGCATTTTTGATTGGACTAATTTCTCTTGCAAGCTAATGAGGGAAGGCAAGCCAGTTTCTTTGCTGCAGGGTGAGTTAACAGTAATGGGGTGGTAACCAGTTTTACCCATCAAATGTGACTGATTTTCAATAAGGGCAAAATATGTTAAAAACCTTTCAGAACTGTTCAACGTACCTTATGGGAAAGATAATTTTTTTCCACATTTACAGTTTGATGGCTTCTTGTCAGTCTGATTCTTTTTGTTCCTGCATCTGTCAGTTGATTTTCCTTATCCCTGCCTGTCTTTTTGACTAAAGTGGGTGTACTTTCAGTCATCCACCTGTCCGTCACAGCCAGCTAATCATTCATGTCTTTTGTTCATTTCATGCTTAATTCGCATCCGCTTTATTGCAGTCACATCCTCTCTTTCACCCGTCTGTCCGCCACGATCTGAGATTTTATTTTCCAGTTCATTGAGTTTTATCTCTCCCCAGGTTCTTGAGTGCACTGGCAGTGCTGGCAGAGCGTCCAGAGCTGGTGGAAAGGGTTATGATCACCAGGACCATTTGCCCAGAGGGGGCCTACCAGGTCCGGTTATGTAAAGATGGGACATGGACGACAGTGCTGGTGGATGACATGTTGCCGTGCGATGAGTATGGCTACCTCCTCTTCTCACAGGTCAGAAACAGAGAGGGATGTGGGAAAACCTTTAGAAAGGAATACACTATCAGTATCAGATGGATATTGCACAGCGAATAGAGGCAAACCAGACAGAAAGATATTCATCATCTCCTGCAGTGTTTTCCCTCTTTAAGGTCATAGACCGTTTATTGTGACCCTTCAAGGTAGCAAAACATTAAATAGATGTTTGACTGAAAATACAGTCGTGAAAAAATTAGGACACCCTTTGAAAGCATGTGTATTTTGTAACAATTTTAATATATGGTTATTTAATCTCAATTTTAACAATACAGAGATTAATACAACTAAACAAGTAAAACTGAAGAAA